TTTCCAATATGGCAATTCCCAAAATATACTCTTTTTGTGCCAATTGTGCTGAACACCATAAAAATCAGGCATATTACTGGGAACATGCCAATTCCCACCACGAGGAGCTGTTTCTAGAGCACAGTAGTAATCGATTTGCGCTTCGATTTGTTCTCCAGTTAAATATGGAGGAGGAGTGTCTCTGACAACCCTTTTGTGCATGAACAATTTCTTGTTTCTTCGGTATGGGTGGTGGATGGGAAGAAATCGACGGTGACAATCAAACCAACTAGTCTTCCTACCATGCTTCAACTGAAACGCATCTGTCATTCCATTACAATATGGGCAAGCTAATCTTCCATGTGTAGTCCACCCAGACAACATACTATATGCAGGAAAGTCACTTATGGTCCACAAAAGCATCACTCGCATCGTAAAGTTTGTTTTCGTTGAACAATCATATGTCCTCACCCCTGTTAACTACAAATCTTTCAACTCTTTTATCAGTGGTTGTAGAAAAACGTCGAGAGATCTTTTTGGATGTTTTGGACCAGGTATTAATATGCTCATGAATAGAAACTCTCGTCGCATGCACATCTCCGGCGGCAGGTTATACGGTGTAAGAAAGACTGGCCACAATGAATATTGTCTCCCAGACATTCCAAATGGACTAAATCCATCAGTGCATAATCCAAGATACACATTCCGGCTATTGCTAGCGAAATGTGGATGTACATTGTTAAAATGTTTCCAGGCTCTTGCATCTGATGGATGAGTCATCTCACCATCCGTCTGAGTATGCTCGGCGTGCCATCTCATCCCTCCAGCAGTCTCCTCAGATTGGTACAATCTTTTCAATTTGTCTGTGATTGGTAGGTACCACATCCTTTGGTACGGTACCCTATTGCGCCCTCGACCTTGCGGTTTGAATCGTGGCTTCTTACAAAATCGACATTCTTCTAACTTCTCATCATCTCCCCAGTAAATCATGCAGTTGTCGATGCAAACGTCTATCATCTCCGAGGGCAACCCAAGACTATATACCAATTTCTGAATCTG